TATAATATCTATTTATGCAAATAACCCACATATATAAGAAGATTTACGGTGTGTCACACGATAACCTCAAAATTTAGGGCGAGTTAGGACTTACGCTACACAACATGGTTGTACAAGAGCCTAAAGAAGGGGTGAGAATTTACGTCGCGCAGGGCGAACTACCTCAAAATCCTATGGGTTGTTATTTAGACTAGGAAAAAAATTGTTGAAGAAAATCCTCTTGCTGCACGGTCTGAGTTCCTCGACATGCTGTCCACGAATTTAGCTCCGAATCTTCTGTCGTCGCGATAGTTCCAGGGTTTAAGTGTTTGAGATTGGTGATTTATGTTTTACAGTTTGGTGTTAATGTTTGGTTTTGTTTTGTTTCGATTTTAGTTTTGCATGCGAAATAAGTAAATTACAAGTAAATAAAAGATACTTTGAAAAGTAAAATGCAGTAAAGTAAAAATGCTGTAGATAAACTGTAAAAGCGCACCTGAGCATCTGCTATTGTTGCGTGATTAATATTGCGAGCATAATATGATTTGTAGCAGATTTAAATAAACTTGGATTTAAATAAACTCGCAAGAAAAATAAATAAGGCGAGAAATTTCTAATTGTCTTCCAAGCTTATTACTAAATAAATTTTCAAAATTGAAAGGAGGATTTGAGTGAAATATCCAAGCTTAAATCTCGGTGCACTGAGTTTCATTGTAGGTTAAGTTATTGTGAGAATTTCACTGTTGATTTAACTAAGAAAGCATGAACTACGTCTTGGTGCATCCTCATCTCTAGTATCTTAATCAATTTGTGAATCAGAGTCAAGTGCCAAGTTTCATTATTTATTCGAAAATTAGTTGGATAAACGTTCACCTAGGGTGTGCTCCTAAAATCTAGGAAGTCTATAGTGAAAAATATGTGGATGAACTCTTACATAGAGCGTGCTCCTAAAATCTAGGAGACCTACACTGAGAATTAGATAGATTGACTCTCACCTAGGGTGTGCTCCTAAAATCTATGAAGCCTATACTCAAAAATAAGTGGATGGACTCTCACCTAGGGTGTGCTCCTAAAATCTATGAAGCCTATGCTGAAAAATATGTAGATAGGTTCTCACCTAGGGTGTGCTCATAAAATCTAGGAGGCCTACACTGAGAATTAGGTAGATGAGCTCTCACCTAGGGTGCGTTCCTAAAATCTAGGAAGCCTACACTTTAACTTGTGTTTAAAGTGATTTAAAGTGTTCTACCCCCAATTAAGTGTTTTTTCAACTAATCCTCAAATATTTCTAAGTGTCTTCCAAGTAATTAAATCAGAAATTTTCATTTTTTTTGACTTAATCATTTAAAAATAAATAAAACGAAGGAGGCCAACCCATTTCCAAAACTAGTAAAATCGAAAGGGGGAAAACAATAAGTGAATCGACATAAAAAAATGTTTAAATGATAATCAAGTGAAACCCAAAACAGTAGATAAAACTCTCCAAATTTGGCCCCAAAACGATAGACAAAGCTTTTCAAATCCAGCTCAAAACAGTAAATAAAGCTGTCCAAGTCCGACCCCAAAACGATAGACAAAGCTTTCTAAATCCAGCCCCAAAACAATAAATAAAACTTTTCAAATCTAGCCCCAAAACAATAGACAAAGCTCTCCAAATCCATCCCCAAAAATAATAAATAAAGCTCTCCAACTCCATAAGCTCTCACAACATTTTTAACACCTCCAAACAGTAATTTGCAGCACTTGTAAGCTACTTACAGCAGTCCAAACCACAATTTCAACACCCAAACAGCTCTCACAACTCTCCAAAAGATCTCATAGCACTTTAAAAGCTCTCGTAGCATTTTTAACACCTCCAAACTGTAATTTGCAGTGCTTGACAACACCTAAACATTAATTTTAAGCAACTTACAGCTTTTTTCAGGACCCGACCACACTTCTACAGCTCTCCCGAGCCCAAACAACAACGTTCTACAGCAGCTAACAACTTCCCACAACACTTACAGCAGATGACAACTACCCAAAACCTAAACAACAGCTTTTTATAGCAGTTAACATCTTCCCATAGCACTTACAAAAGCTTTCTATAGCAGCTAACAACCTAACAACTTCCCACAACACTTACAGCAGCTTTCTATGGCAGCTAACAACTTCCCACATCACTCTAAAACACTCCAAATCAACACTTCTAAATACTTCAAACAACACCCATATAAACCCAAGACAAAAACAACTCTCAAATCATCCCCTTCTAAAAGCTTTAAACAACATTTTAAAAGCTCAAAGACAGCACATAAAACCACTCCAAATGGCAAATGTTAAGCCCCAAATCAACGGAAGTTTAGGGCAAAGAACAGTAAAAACAACAAGCTAGAATGACATCTCGATCCTTCTTCAAGATAAAAATAATATCGAACAACCGACCAAGAAGAATCTAATGAAGCTTCGCCTATGTATCCCGCAACTCCTATGCATTTACATTCCTAACACTTAAACTTTCAGTTTCTACACACATGTCACCTTGATTTTATGTATGAAAATAGCTTGCGTTAGATATGTGGATATATAAGAATTGAATTTTTATACACTGCAAAGATCCTTTTTATCATATCAAAGAAACTCTTAAAATTTGAAATGTAACTTTTCGTGCACAAGGTGGCGTATAGGTAGACAAATTTAAGTTTGGGTGTTAAATTTGTAAATGAAACTTAGGTGTGAGATATGTAAACGTATAAAAATTCGATGACATGTATGTAAACATTGAAATTTAGGTATCAGATATGTGCATGTATGAAAATTGTGTGGTACGTATGTGAATTTCCTAAAAAAAAATGCCCTTTTGTAGGTGTATGAGAACAAAACACTAAATAAAAATAATCAATGACATGGCTTGCTGTAGCATTATAGAAATGGGCATGTCACGCCAAAACCAAGGGATGAGCTGCCCAACTTTCAAATTCAATGTTCTTTGTAAAGTAGTCACACACAATGTCATAAATTCTCAAGAGAAAATTTATAATGATAAATCACTGCCTAAAGAAAATGTGTCATTAAATGTGCAGAATGATTAATGAGATTCAATACGATCCACTAAAAAAAAACTATCAAAATTATGCAGCCCATAGATGATCATCTTCTGCATTTAAATGTAAGTAGTTACAAATTCCAAGAAAACAAATCATCAACGTTGGTACAAACCAACATAATTCACCTGCCAAAATGATTCTGACATACAAATTACAATGATAATTATCAGTTTGTGCATGAGCAAATGAAATGTCACAAGTTTCTTTAATCTTAAATGAAATGTGGAAGCGAGCCGTGACAAACTTGAATTACTCATTAAAAAAAATGCAAATTGCAAGAATATTCTGCCTTTGTTATCTGAGTCAGTTCAAGACGTAATCGAACCAAAAGTACATATGCAACCATACCTTTCAGTAGGAATAGAGGCTGAGCAAAGAGAAGTAAAAGAAGTTCGGCTCTGTGTTCGTTGCTCTGTGTTTCGGCTCTGTGTTCGTTGCGATCTCATCACCGCCTTCTTGCTAATGACGATCGCTGAAAATTTAGTTGGGACGACAATGGTTTAAGGCAAGAATCGAGAGCAGAGGATGAGAGAGGCGAGCAAGGGTTTTGGTCTTCGGTCGGGGGAGGAAAACATGCGTCGAATGCGGGGAGAGTGGAAGCAGGTATTGGTTTTGGCGCAAAGGGAGGAGTCGAGGGCTTCGACGTTTGTAGAGAGGAGCGAGGGTTTCTCTCGAGCGAGGAAAAGGCGAGGTTTTTTTGAGAGAGGAAGAGGCGAGGGGATTTCGGTCACGAGGAAGAGGGGAGCGGGAGAAGAAGAGTGGGGGATTCGGCGCGGGAGGCGGGATCGAGCAGGCGAGTGAATTTTTTTTCGGTGCAGGGAGGAAAGCAGACGAGTGCGGGAGAGGGTCTCGAGCGTGGCTTCTTCTACGCGAGGAAGAGGGAGGCATGATTGAGCAGAGAGCGGGAGGAAGAAGGAGCTAATGGGAGAGAGAGTTCTGTCGAGCCGAGCCCAGGCGAGCGGGGGAGGCTGAATTGTATAGATTAAAATTCAAGGGAGCCGTTACGTGAAAGCTTTGGCGGGGAATTGAATACTTTCCTTCGATGTAGCCGACTCAATTGGAAAAAATAAAAACATATTGTTTTCAATAATATGAGTTTTAAATGCTCATTTTAAATTTTGAAATTTAAAATTTGAAATTTGAAATTTGAAACTCGTGAGTCAATTGATGCATGCTCCATTTGAAATAATTAGTCTGTGCTTAGCTCATATCCATCCCAAGTCAAACTCGAGTTGAACCTAGGTTGATCCCGGGCCCACACCCGCTAATTTAAAAAAAAGACGTGCATTGATTTTTGTGCAATCTACTCGTGCGTGGGACCATAGTGATATGGGTGTCCTTTCTAGATTAAACTTCATTAAAATTTTGACATTATATTAAACATCATTAAAATCTGTTTCATAATTGATTTGAAAAAAAAATGCAGTTTCTTCCACGTGCGGCAACAGTAACAGACAAGTTTCATTGGCATATTCAATGAATTGGTAGCTCTATCTGCTGATCTCTGTGCAATAATTGATGCTTTGTAGAAGTTAAACCATTGATAAAAATATTTTGAGTATAGGGTGGATTGATAAGCCATTTACCTAATAATAGATAGTTCATCGTAACGTTCAAAAATTTTTGGTATGGCTGATTTAATAGATTATTTTCTTCTTCAAAAACATGACTTGACGGAAAACTTCCTGTTTATGATCCATTTTCTGAAGTAGCATTTGTTTTAATACACTACCATAATGTTGCTTTGAATCAAACCTGTCATAGGAACTCACATTAAATGGGTTTATACTTATAGTTCAATCTTCAACCATTGCAAACACTACACCAGCTATTAGTTATAATAGCTTGCATTGTATGTCTTGTTTCACCTGCCTAACTAATCTAATGATGATGCCATTTATTCTGCTGAGTTCATGACCATGATACATGGTGCAGGCATATATGTTCAAATATGATTCAACACATGGTGTATTCAAGGGAACCCTGAAGGTTGTGGATGAGTCGACATTAGAGATCAATGGAAAGAGAGTTGCTATCACTAGCAAAAGGTATTTAACAAACGTTCACCCATGGAAACCGGGTCTTGTGATCTATTTTGAACTTAAATTGCCAATTTTATGAAAGCACTTAGCTGTGCAGTTTTTTGAGATTGGGATGAGGCCCGATGGATGGGTTTCTCCATTCATAGGGATGATGTGATCAGATGTGGAATTATACTCCTATTTAAACAGGTTAAAGCAGCATAATATCAAATTTGTTCCTTAGGAATGGCGGGAGCCTCTTGTATGATGCAAAACCTAGAATAATTTATTTTTTTACAGTTTTATTCAGATGAATCTGCCGTCCATCTTACTGATTGCAACTTCATTTCAAAATGCTGTCGTCTGACAGTTCTCATTGCAACCAACTGGATGATGAAGGAATGACTTGGAAGCACTGGAAAAACTATTACTGTTTATGAGGTTTTAGCTGTCCATTAACTTGGATTACATTTTCTACTATGGTAACGGTATATTATTTAAGGGGCTACCAGTGTTCCTTGCCCTGCTCTCAATTTATATGCTAGTATAAATCAGAAATACTCAGAGTAGAGTGATAATAATTGTTCAAATATACCGGTAAAATAGAAAAGATACACACTAAATTGAAAATCAAAATTAACTTAATTGGGTGGGCCGCCTTCACTTGAGGGAGAGTTTGTAAGGCCCATTATTGGGTTGATTCTAATATCTGTGTTATATATCCTACATATTTTTGGAAAACTGGTATTATGAGCATCTATCCTTTAGGAAACTCCATAATAGTAAGCTCTAAAAATTAAGTTTAAGCTTAATATTGTATGCTAGTAAAAAATCTAAATGACAAACATCAGGCCATCTAACCTATGGCTATTAGGTAAGGTTGTAAGACTTATTATTGGGCTATTGTTGTCTTTTGGGCTGTAAATGCCATTTACGTGTCTTCCATATAAACCATCTAATTAGCATGGGTTAATATAAAGCTAACAAACTTATTAAATTTGAACTTAAGCGTTCCAATTGATGCATGCTCCATCTATATGTAAACTTGGGCAGCTCCCATGGTAATATGCCATTAATCAAAATTAAAATAATCAATTAAATCCAAATTAACCTAAAATTTCATCTCTATTTAATGAGCTTTTTTGAGTCAAATTGAAACTCATGGGTAATTCATAGTCATCCTTTGTCTCTGAGCTCTTATCAATCATACCTGACACCTAAAAGCACAAATGTCCAAGATCTATGCCTCATTATTTAGTAAAACTGATACAACAACCTCTTCATTAGTAAGCGAGTCAACATCAATATCAAAATTATATATATATATTTTTACATGTATGCAGGTTTACTCTAGTCTAATCAAGATACATGAAGGATGCAACTTATAATTGGGAATTAAATTTTTTGAATGTCAAAGCTATTTAACATTAATATATTGGCTATGTTGAGATACACTAGATGATAAAATTGTGTGATTTTGATAGTGTTTATCTCCACCCTCAACTGTTGCATTAATTTAATTTAAACAAAAAAAAATAAATCTAAGATTAAAGTTTAACCTAAGCAATTTACTTATATTAGAGTGTTTCCATACAAGTGGGAGGGTTATTTAACTATTGGTGCTTGTCCATAGAAAGTCATGACCTCTAACCTAAATAAGCAACATATAGCAGAATTTGGTTAAAACAAACCAAATGTATATCAAATATCTCTGACGTTATTAGATTGGGTCCATTGGATCCTGTAGCCTTGATATGGTCTACCTAACCGCCACCATTCTCCATAAATTTCATTCAAACCTAAAAATTAAATATAAATCCAAAATTGCACTAAAGTAACCTCTTAAGTGGGAGTTTTCCGTGCAAGCGGGAGAGCTATTTAACTATTGGTGATTGCACTCATTAGGAAGATCCTTTATCATAAATGATATAATATCAGTCAAAGTTTGGTTAAAACAAATCAAATCTATCTCAAGAGAACCACACTTTTGAGTTTTCTCATCATATCGAGGAGCTCAAAGGTTGGAATTTATTTCATCGACAAACATTTTATTAATGACACTTTTTTAATAATCGTAAGAATGACAAGATAGAAAGAGTGAAGGGTGATAAATGTAATTATTTTTTATAGTAATTAAGAGAAAAGGATGATAAATGTGTTGGGATTAGTGGACCCCTATATACTGAGGTCGAGCACAACTTCTGTTTCTCAAGTGTAGTGCCATTGGTTAACATATCAACAGAGTTTCTACTTTCACAAATTTTCTCAAGTAGCAGCTGTCCGTCATCTAACAATGATCGAATAAAGTGATATCTGATCTGAATCAGTTTGGTTCTGGATTGAAATGCTGGATTTCTGGAGAGGAATATGATGCTCTGGCTATCACTGTTGAGAGTGCTCTTCTGAGCAACGTTACCCAATTTCTTCAAGAAACTCTATAGCTATATCATCTCCTTTGCAGCTTCTGACACTGCAACATACTCAACTTTCGTAGTGGACAAGGAAATTGTCTTCTGTAGATTCGAGCCTCATGACACTGCAGTACCACCAAGAGTATAAACATAACCTATAGTACTCTTTCTGCTGTCAATGTCTCCAGCTAAATCTGCATCAATGTAGCCCTGTACCTCCAGACTCTTTCCTGATAAACACAAACAAGTTGTTGAAGAGTCTCTTAGGTATCTCAAGGTCTACTTCGCAGCTTCCAGTGTTCCTTCCCTGGATTACTCACGTATCCGCTCACAACTCCCGCTGCATGGGCAATATTCGGTCTGGTGCAGACCTTAACATACATGAGTGAACCAATAGCTGAAGCGTAAGGAATCTTACTCATGTAGTCACGTTTCTCCTCTGTCTCGGGTGACTGATTCTTGTTGAGTCTGAAGTGGCTGCCCACAGGTGTGCCAACTGGTTTGGTCTTGTCCATTTTAAACCTGCTAAGCACCTTTTTCACATAATCAACATGTGAAAGCCTCAACATGCCTCTGATTCGGTCTCTAACAATTCTCATGCCAAAATCCGTGTAGTCGAACTTCTCGATCCCCAAAACCTTTACTTCGTCTCCGACCATCGTTCTTCCTTAGATCTGAAACCATGGTTCTGATACCAATTGTTGTAAAAAAACAACGACAATAAAACGAAACACTAGATCGAGAAAAAAAAACCGCAAAATAAAAAACACAACGGAAACAAAAATTTACGTGGTTCGATAAATTGCTTACGTCCACGGAGCTGCAGAAGATTTTATTGCTTCGAGGAAATTACACCGTCGTCGATTCGACGACTACAAGAAAATAATTCTCCTTACTTCCTCTCTCCTCTCTCTCTCCTCTGTCTCTCTTACAGCTAAAGAGAAAAAAGACTAAGGGAATCCCGTAAGCCTTCTTAGCACAAGAATCCAAAGGAAGAAAAAGGACAAAAGAGCTTTTCTTTTCTTCTTCCTTTCAGCCGTGGGTGTGGTGAGGAGAGCAGACAACCTATTGCTATTTATAATGAGCATAGCAGAATAAAGGAGGAAATAATATTATTGTCTTATTTGCTGGACGTGTTTCTGTGTCAAATCCTTTTGGCGGGACAGCATAGGAGAGGGAAGGCGGGACCGCGTAGGAGCTTTGGCGGGAGCACGGGGAACGCGTGAGATGTGGAGAGAAAATACGAGATTAACAAATTAAATAATGCAGTGTACCGGGGTCCACTAATCCCAACAATTATGAGGTTCTTTTTCAGTTCAGAAATGTGTCTAACTTTTGGTAGGATCCATTTGTTTTTGTTAGGGAGTGCAATTTCAACATCTCTTGTCCCCACCACATTCAAAGTTGTTCCATCAGCCAGGTACACCTTCCCAAAGTCATTTGCAACATAGTTTTGCATTAACTTCCGATGGGAAGATGTGTGAAAGGAAGCCCCTGAGTCCAGTATCCAGTCATCAACGGAGCTATGAACTGCATCAACGGAGCTATGAACTGCAAATGAACTGCAAGCAATAGTGCATCCTGCACTTCTTCAGTTACAACATTAACACTAATGTTCTCCGTTTTCTTAGGATTTTTGCATTTTTTCTTTGTGGTTAGTTTTGTCACAATTCCAGCAGGTTGCTTGTTGACAAGACTTTGACTTGCTCTTGCTTATGTGTTTTGATTTTGACCTTCCTCTGTTTGAGTTCTTGTTCTTTGATCTCCCTCCGGAACTAACATTTAGTGCCGAATTTGAACTTGAGGTCTCGCCAGAATCTTTTCTGTGCACCTCCTCAGCTAAAATTAAATCACGAATATCTTCATATTTTTAGCTTAGTTTTACTTGCAGAGTTGTTAACTGTCATTCTCATAGCTTCCCAGCTATTCGACAATGAAGTCAACAGTATCAACGCACATATCTCATCGTCAAAATCAATTTCAACAGACGACAATTGGTTTGTGATGGTGTTGAAATCGTTCAGATGTTGAAAAACATATACACATTCCGTCATCTTCAGGTTGAATAACTTTTTCATTAAGTGCAACTTGTTATTCGCCGATGACTTTTTATATATACCTATAAGACCGCCTTAAGATCTGCCACGTCCTCTCCTTTATAACGTTGTGAGCAACGGACCTCGACAAGGTTAATTGAATAACCCCCAGAATCTGTCGATCCAACAAATTCTAATCAGCTATCACTTTATTCGATCATTGTTAGATGACATATAATTGCTACTTAAGAAAATTTGTGGAAGTAGGAACCCTGCTGATATGTTAATCAAGGGCATTACACTTGAGAAACTGAAGTTGTGCTCGCTCGACTTCAGATGTTCTTCTAGCTTGAAAACAAGTTTTGAGTTGTAGAAGTGAAGGATATCACACTTGAAAAAAAAAGATGCAGCCAGGGGACGATGCAGCCAGGGGACGATGCAGCTAGCATCCCAAACTCTAAGTGGAGAATTGTTGTGATTAGTGGACCCGATACACAACATTATTTAATTTGTTAATCTCGTATTCTCTCTCCGCGTCTCATGCGTTCCCCGTGCTCCCGCCAAAGCTCCTACGCGGTCCCGCCTTCCCTTTCCTATGCGGTCTCGCCAAAAGGTTTTGACGCGGAAACACGTCCAACAAAGGAGGAAATAATATTATTTCCTCCTTTATTATGCTATGCTGATTATAAATAGCAATAAGTTGCCTGCTCTCCTCACCACGCCATAAGGCTGAAAGGAAGAAGAAAAGAAAAACTCTTTTGTCCTTTTTTTTTCCTTTGAATTCTTGTGCTAAGAAGGCTTACGGGATTCCCTTAGTTTTTTTCCCTTTTTTTTCTCTTTAGCTGTAAGAGAGAGAGAGAGGAGAGGAGAGAGAGGAGAGAGGAAGTAAGGAGAGAATTATTTTCTTGTAATCGTCGAAGTGTCATAGAAAAGTACCGATAAGACTGAAAGGAAAATTTTATAAGACGGTGGTGAGACCTGCAATGCTCTATGGCGCTGAATGTTGGCCTTTAAAAGAGAAGCATAATAATAAGTTAAGTGTTGCCGAGATGAGAATGATTAGGTGGATGAGTGGCTTTACACTTAGAGACAAAATACGGAATGAATATATTCGTGATAGGGTTGGTGTAGCTCCTGTGACAGACAAAATTAGAGAAAGTC